CAACCAAAAATGCCCCCCCCAAAAAAAAACTTTTTTTTTATTTTTTTAAATTTCTCTTCTCCACCTTTTTTGTTTTTTTATTTTTTCTAATTCTAAAAACTTATCTGTTTCCAAAAAAGAAAAAAATGGGGTTGTAGGGATTAAAAGTCCCTACAACCCCATATATATATATATATTTTTTACCCATTATTTAATTCAGGGAGAACATGGTAAATTCGCGTCTGCAGCGCGGACGAGGTCGTCCGTGGACGCGGCCGTATATACGGCCGCCATCCGAGCTCGACCCGGCGGATGCATCCGCGGGTGTTTCATAGGCGGTGAGTGGACGAGGAATGAGTCTGGTGGCAGTGTTGTTGGCGGGGGAGGTGGTCGCACAACTGTGGGTGGACGGCCGGGCCTTTGAGGCGCGAGTGTTGGTGGGGGAGAGGGTTCTGCAGCAGCGACGACGGCAGGAGGGTGTAGGCATGTGCAGGGTTCTCCATCACGTTCATCGAAGGCGAAGGGGAAGTCTGTATCATGGAGCGGCATCAAAAGGGTCACCTGCAAACTCAGGGACTCTATGTCTGGGGTTACGGGTGAGAGGAGGGATCGTGAGGGGAGGTTGCCGGAGATGTTTGTAGACGCAGCAGACTTGGTATGAAATGGAGATAGGTTGGAGCATTCTGGTGCCGGGTCGTCGTGCGTTGCTGAGTTTCGGGGCAACACGATGGTTGCACCGTCGTCCTGCCTGCAGCAGGTGCAGCACATTGCGATGGTCATCGACATCCCAAAGGGTGATCCTCCACACGCGCTTTGCCGGCTGCCCGACTTCCCACCGCATTGCTGGAGGATGCCCCTGATCCTGCTACATTGCACAACAGCCGTGGAGCTTGTCTGTCGGCTACACACAGGATACTCGTGGAGGAGCCGCGGCGTCAGACCGCGACAGGACCGGGCAGTCGTCGAGCTGTTGAGGGCCTCACTCAGGATTCCGCGACGGATGGGGTGCTCATGCCTAAGGGTAGGAAGACGTACACTACCCTGACTGGCATTTTGGGACGTTTTGCTGCACGGCGTGCGAGGAGAGAGACAGAGTTCCAGGAGGCAGAGAGGATGGACGCAGCCGGAGCAGTTGGCAGTCACGCCGCGTCTGCGTCACAACATTAAGGGGAGGGAGAGGAGACGGTGGCGACGGTGCCGCACAGGCGACGAGAGCGCATCATCCACGACGACGACAACAGACGATGGGTAGTGCGATGCGCCTTAGACTGGGACTTTGCTGTCGCGCCAATGATGTTTGTGTATGTCTATCTTCATTTAGTGTCTTATAGGTTTCGTATCTTTCGTTCTTCTTCTTGTTTTTTTATTTTATTTTTGAGTTATTCTTCTCTTATAATATTTCCTCTTTTTTTATTTTTTTATTTTTTTTTCATATTGATGGTAGTATCATGGTACTGTGCGACTCCGTGCTTCAACAACGATGTCCATTACTTTGGTTACTTGGTAGTTCTATTGTTCACTTTTTTTATTACTGTAGCTTTTGTGTTTGTGTATTTCGGTCCATTCTACTGTCTTGAACTCAGGTTTTGCTCTTTTTTTTTTAGGGGAGTAGAGTTGTGTTCTCATGATTGCAATTTCTTGTATTTGATGAGAATTTGTGAATTTTGTGGGGACGAGGGTAAGTTGCGTTTACTGGGGGGTGTGCGGGAATCTTGGTGGAGGGGTGACATGGGTTTACTGAGGGGTATGTGGGAATGTGGAAGGAGGTGTTACTTGAGCTTAATGATGACATTGAGGGGCATGTGGGAATGTTGGGGGGGGGTGGGGGGTCTAGTGCGTTGGTGCCACTTGGTGAGGGGTGTAGGTGCTGGGGATTCGGGCCTGACGCCGGGTAAGGGGCGGGCTTGTGTTCTGGGCGTGGGGGGGTTGGGTGGGGGAAGGGATTTAGGGGGGTGCGTCG